TTTTGTCCTCAGTGGCAACCTGCCTTCTCTGTAGTACACCTGTGCTTGTCTGCTAGGCTGTCCTCCCAAAGTACTATCGACCGAGTGGCAGAGACCACAGAAATTTATCTCACAGTGCTGGAAGCCCGAACTCTAAGATGGAGGTGTCAGCAGAGTCGGTTCCTTCTGAGGGTGGCAAGAAAGAATCTGTTCTATACTTCTAGCTTCTGGTGTTTCGCTGGTGATCTCTGGCACTCTCCCCGTGTGCGTGTAACTGTGTCCAAATTTCCCCCTTTCATTAAGACACCATTCGTGTCGAATTAGGGTCGCCCTACTCCAGTGTGACCTCAACTAATTACGTCTGCACCGACCCTATTTCCAAATAGGCCACATTCTGAGGTCCTGGGGGTTAGGGTTTTAACATATGGATTTTGGGGGTGGACAGTTCAACTTGCTACATCATTCGGAGTTATCTGGTTCTTTCTGACAACTCCATAAGTTGTAAATAAGGGATGGCAGTGCAAAATTATTCTCTACGGACACTCAAATAGATTCTCTCCGGCAGGGGACAACCCTCTCCCCCGACCTCTGTCCGTTCAAGCTGATATAAAGGAAAGCCACAGAGTGGGTGGCTGAGGAACAACAGAAATTTAGCGCCCGCAGTTCTGGAGGCTGGACGTCCAAGGTCAAGGAGCCAGCATGGTCAGGCGAGGGCTCTCTTCCTGGTTCGTAGCCGGCACCTCGCTGCGTCCTCACGTGGCGGAAGGAGGAAAGGGTCATTCTGTGTCATAAAAGCACAGACCCCCACAGCGAGGGCGCCACCCTTACGATCTAAGTGCCTCCCGAGGCCCCGCCTCGTAACACCATCACCTTTGGGGGTGAGGGTTTCGACTTATGAACTGGGGGCGGGGGGACACAGACATTTAGGCCATAGGACCCCCAAATGTTTTGGCTCCCTCTGCACATTCTTTTCAATATTCCTGATCTGTAAATGTGTCTATTCTCGATCTCCTTTGAGCTGGTCGTAACCCCTCACTCGCCAGGGCTAAGTCAAGCCTTTTCACACGTGTTCATTTTTAGGACCATATGTGTCGTGGTTTTCCCTCTTGTTCCAAAAAGTGTAAGAATATTGTCCTCGAGGAAGCCCTCCCCAAGTCCCCCCGGGTTGGGTCAGCGTCCCTTTGGGCCCCCCCATCACTGCTTCAGCCACCCTGGTCATCACAGGTCCGGTACCCTACGTCTGGTGATGTTCCCAATATACCCAGCAAGTGGCCGGGCGCTGGGCAGAAGCTCTAGAGCTGAGAACTTACCAGGGGCCTCGAGAGAAGAGAGACATTCCCCTTCTGCCACTGGAAACAAAGGGGTCTCTGTTGTCTGGAAGTGGGGGACTAGTAGTGGCTTCTGGGCTAGGTCTCTCTCTCTCTCTCTCTCACACACACACACACACACACACATCCATCCAGCCAAGGGCAGGACAGCTCACCCAGAAAACCACACAATTACAGGCAGAGCACACACTACAGAATTCAGTCACAGGCGTCAATACACAATAGCACAGTTGCACGCACAGACGTGATCGTTAATGCCCGTCGGCGTGCCCCCTCTCCATGGCAACACACAGCAACACACAACTTGCAACTCCACTTGCCCTCAGCTGCACGATAATACAGTAACAATGTCACGTCGCCTATATCAAGGGCTACCATCGTGACCGTCACTAATTTTCGCCAAAAAAAAAAAAAAAAAAGGCTTCAAAAACAACATGCCATTTATTTGAATGTTCGCAAACATTTTAAACAATTGAATCATGTAAAAACCATATGAGAAACAGGAAGGCGGTCATTTGTTAGCACCAGAATTCTTATCTCCCTCTCCCTGAGATAATTCTTATCTCCTTCTAGGGAAGTACCAGGCGCTTAGCATTCAGGCAAGTTGGCGGGGAGGGGGGTTCATTTCCTTCCAATCTGGCCCTTAGCTGGTAAGAAGCCGATTCGCATCCTTAAAAGGGAAAGGCATATTTCTGATTTAAAAGTAGTACTTATGGGCTCTTCTTCCACGGGGGACAGATTTGTCCAAAAGTCCACCCGAGTTCCCGTCAGGCCTCTTCCATGTGCAAGAGGCGCACTGTCCCCCCGCCGCCGTGCAGACGCGTGTAGGGGGCAGGAACTGGCGGGACCCACGGCGAACACGGTATC